CCATAATATTAGACCTCACAGCAACCTCAAACTCTTGGCCTCAAGAGATCCTCTTGCCTTAGCCTCCCTGATACCTGGGACTACAGGACCTGCCACAATGCTCAACTAGTTTTTCTATTTTTAATAGAAAAGGGGTCTCACTCTCTCTCAGGCTGGTCTTGAACTCCTGAGCTCGAGTGACCCACTTGCCTCAGCCTCCCAGAGTGCCAGGATTACAGGTATCAGCCACTCTTCCAGCCTGCCCCCATTATTTACTGATGCCACACCCTATAGGATCACTCCAGACATTTATGCACTCAATTACATTTCTATTTGCTCGTTTATTTGCCACTTGCACCTCCTTAGCTTATGGGCTTTGTGAAGGGAGAACCTACATCTCATTAGCTCTCCTCTGTATTCTTACTGCTTGCAGGGTATCTAAGACATAATTGGTGCTCATATTTTTTGAAAGAATTAAAAACAATGAATAAATAAATCAGGAAAGCAAGGGAGATTGAGTAGGACATAGATTTCACATGGATGACAGAAAAATCTAATTTCAATTTTGTCATTAGTTGGGACAATATTAAGTATTGTTTTTAATGAGACACTTTCTTTTTTTTTTTTTTGAGACAGAGCCTCAAGGTATCCCCTGGGTAGAGTGCTGTGGCATCATAGCTCACAGGAACCTCCAACTCCTGGGCTCAAGCAAGTCTCCTGCCTCAGCCTTCCAGGTAACTGGGACCACAGGTGCCCACCCCAATGCCCAGCTATTTTTTGGTTGCAGCTGTCATTGTTGTTTTGGTGGGCCCAGGTTGGATTTGAACCCGCCACCTTAGGTGTATGTGGCTGGCGCCTTAGCCACTTGAGCCACAGGCACCGAGCCTAATGAGACACTTTCTCCCTCCCTCTCTTCCTTTCTTCTTTTCTGTCTCTTGATTCTTGTTTTCCTTTTCACCTAATGATTTGCAAAGTTACAAAAAAGAAATAATCCTAATAAAAATGGGAGAGATCAACTCAATATTTGGAAGCTTTATAATGAAAAGTATTTTAGAAATCCATTTGTGAGAATCATCCAAATTGCTGTGAGGCTAAGTCATCTTTCACTTGTATGTTCATGGAAAATCCCACACTTGAGTAGAATCACAGACACTAGAGGGCAGTCCTCGACGTCCTTGTGGTGCTTCTAAAGGCAGACTAAACCCAGCACCCTAACCTGGGGTTTAAATCACCCTCAGGACAATATAGCAGATGCTTGGGGACTGGTTGGCTCATGCAGTTGGGGGACTTCCCCTATGACTGTCCCCTATGACTTAGGTGTCTCTCCTGAGTCCTGCAGCCTCCCACAAGAGCTCAATGAAGGAGCTTTAGAAAAGCTTTTAGGAAGCAAATTCATTGCTGCTGCTGTTATCCAGGGTCCATGAATTTGCCTGCAGAGCCATGCTCAGGACAGGCCTCTGCTTCTGCATCCTAGGGTGTGCAGGAGTGGGGAGAAGGCCTCGTTATCCATTTTCAGGGCTTTCTTTCGCAAAGATGGGAGTGGTGTGGCTCTCAAGTACCTTATGGTGACTTATTTTTTTGGTTTTTGTTTTATAGCCCTTAAATATGTTCTCCCTTTTGCACTGGACTTGAATGAGAGCTCTTGAGGACCTGGACTCCTCAAGTATCAGACTCCAAATTTAAAACTAAGATGCTGTGAGTCCCAATCCCTTCCTGAAATTTCCCATGGTCACTTTGGCCAATAATTACTTTAAAAGACCCATTTTACCAAACTGATGGGCATGTGTAGATTTTTCAGGATTCTGCAGTGAACTGGCCCTAATTGAAACCTACAGATCATCCCAAAGCCAAATTATAAGTCCAACACTCTTTTCCCTTAAGGGCTTTGTCCTCAAATGTCAATGCTTTGGAAGAACATAGTCTTTCTGAGCTACCTTCCCTTTAGAGGAAGAATTGTTGTATTTATTTTTATTTCTGTTTCAAGCAGAGCTGTTTTTAAAGGCTTATTCTAAAAAGGGATCAAGTTGGAGTCTGGTTCCGACGAGTGGGAATTTTCCTCCAGCTAACCCGACTGTCGACTGTGCGTGAACTTCTGCCAGCACGGCGGCCACTGTGGCAGCACTTTTCAATGAAAAGTGGCTAATAAAATCATGAAGGGAAATCATAAAGTAGAATGACAAACAAAATCATCAAACAGGGAAAGAAAATTTTACTGTGATGAAATTTGTCCTCCAGGGACCAGAATGAAAAATTTGCAGACATAAGCTTAGGTCAGCAAAGACACTTAATGGATTTACAAGCTTTTTCCCCTCTAGTGAGTTTTATTAACCAGTTTCAACAATCAGTTGCTTCTAATATTGTAGGAAAACTGAGTACAGTTGGGCAGAAGAAAAATCTGTGATCATGTCAATTACCTCAAATACAAGAAGAAATGTAAAAATCACCTTCCATTTTTTGTGTGTTCATGTCTGGGCTTCCCTAAGGACACTCTGCTTTCACATTTATTTTAAAAATAGTTTATAGTTAACACTGAAAGTGTGGGTCTATTAATGAAATAATCACAATGGGACTCTCAGACCTCTTGATGTTAAGACATGATCACATTTCATTGATCATTAAGTTATGAAGGTATTCGGTGAAAGAGCATGCACTAACTGGTTAAACGCTTCTCTATTTTTAAAGTACTTTGTACATGGCTACAATTCAGAGATCATTTTTTTTTTTCCTGTGGTGCTCTTTACTTGTTTATTTTTAGAAAGTTTGGCCCAAATCTATTCCATCTTTGACCTTTGGGTTCTTTTCTTTTCTTTTTAGGGAAACAACTATGGATACCTTTCCCAGTATTAAACATAGCACACATACTCACAGGCATGAAAAACAATTCCCAGGCTTGCTTTTCTGACAAATAAATCAGCGTTAGTAGATCTTTAAAATGTCAAACTTCTCATTCGACATGAGCCCTGTCACACTGTCCATGTGTTTCTTTGACTTCCCCAGATCGTACCAGTTGGCATGGTTCCCACGTGTCAGAGCAGTGACGTGTACAAGACACCTATCTGGACTTAACTTCTTCCCTGCAATTATTGTAGTTTCCCCACTCAGCTTCCTGGAAGGTTTACTATTCTCCCAGGCTTTTGGTCTCCCAGGGAGGCCAAAGAGCTTTGAGTTCATTCTCTTTTCCTCCACTCTTTGAATACCAACATGCAGCTAAACCTTGGTCTGTTCTCTCAAGTATTACAACTCTAGTTGGCCACCATGCTCAGTGGTTAGCCCATCAGTCCCCCAGATGAGGGGCAGTGCATTTGAGCCTCGCCTGGGGCCTCATTAAAAAGAGAGAGAGAGAGAGAGAAAATATATATCAAGCACTACAATTCACTGGCTTGCCCAAAGGGTCACCCACCTGGTTTTATTTACTATTTATAGAAAAGTGACTTCTCATTATCATAGCTTTAAGAAAATGGTTCCTTGTGAAGCTAACAGCACAAGGACCTGGTTTTGGCATCTGATGCCCTGGGTTCAAATCTTACCACTTACTTGCTCTGTGATCAGGCATATTTTTTTGTTTCCCCAGACCTCAATGTCCTCATCTGTAAAGTGAAAATATTAAGAATATAAGCTTGAATACGTGAAGAGTAAGTTGTTTTAGAAGAAAGAAACAAGACTTTATCCACTTAGGTGTCAAGAAGTAGAATTTTTTTTTTCCCTTACCTGCACTGTTTGGAACAAAAAGAATGAACAGGTAAGGAATATGCCAGGAAATTAAGAAAGTGGGTACAATCGGGGATCTGTTGCCCTGTGCAGATGAAAGCTTTGTATCATATGTAACTGGTTCTGCTCAGTAAGTTGGTACTACGTGGGTCAGGTGTGCGTCTAGAATCATGCTATTACTTTCTGCCTATTTAGATGTTTCACGTCAACCTACAGCTTGCATGCAGTATGACAAAGTTCCAAATTTCAGCATGTCAGTGGCTGGAAATGATCTAGACCAGGTTACTTCAGGGTCTAGACAGCATGTGTATTATTCCATGAAATTTACCGTGGGGAACATCCTTTTGTTTAATAAGTTATTTATTTAGGAACTTGACCTGAGTAGTAGACTCTGTGTCCATCACAAGAATAAGGTCTACGGCCTACTCTTAAGTCCTTACCTGGAAAAGGACTATCCACTTAGGATATCCAGACGTGAAAATCTACCAGTCCAAATTCCTACCTAAGTCTACATCTGCCTAAAGTCTAAAAAGGCTCCCAAATGACACACCCCTTCTGTGTCTGAGGTTCATTTCTATCCAACCGCAGCCCCCTCCAGGTTAATTCATGCTTTCCAGTTTGGTCGCGTGCTAATGCAGGACAGACCACGTGTCGTGGAAGGGCATGGAGAGATGGATAATATCCGTGATTAGAACCAAAGTTTGACCTCGTGGAGAGTCCAACGTATACCCTTCACTCCCGCTGAGGGTAAACTATAAATTCCAACTTTCCTACCCACACAGGGGTGAGGAGATTTATCACTGAGTCATTTCACATGCTCAAGGTGCCTTTGAGAAAGACCTACTAAAATCTGGACGCTTTCTTTATTAGTCTGCTATGCCCAGGAGCTGGGGTGGATTCGGGGAACAAACGCACGGACCCCAGGAGTCGCCAGGCTGCAGAGGTGATGCCCGGCCGGGTGGTGGAGTTCGCCTTCACACTCTTCCACCCAAGCTGCGCTTTGGGGGACAATCGGAGCAAACCCACGCTCCACGTGGGACATTGCTTTTTAAAGTAACATCTTGAGGTAACAGAGGTGAGACTCGGATTGTCCTGGAGATGCCACTGCAGTAGAGATCCGGGCAGCCTCAGCAGGCGCCTGGCGCCGGTCGCCAGCTGGACTAGGCAGCCTGGGCGTCGCTGGCTGCGCACCCGCCTCTAGGAGGCGCCGCGAGTGCGCGGGTCCCCGCCCGCTGCCGGGGAGGGCGAGCGCGCCTGGGCCAGCCCCTGAGCCGGGCGGGCGGGCGGACCGAAGCAGGCGTGGGGGACTGTCACCGCGGGAACACTGCGCGCACTGACCGGGGACCTGGGTATCTGGGGCCCGCCGGACGGCACCCTCGCCGCCTGCCCCGCCGGGGTCCTGGGCTCCCGCTCCCCGGGGAGCAGCCGCCGGGACGCAGGGCGATGTGGGCTGGGGCCCGCCGCGGTCCCCGGGGCAGCCGGGCGCAGCCGCTCGCGCCCCTCTGGTGCCTCTCGGCGGCGCTGGGAATGATGCTGGGCTCCCCCGCCTCGCAGGCGTTCAACTTGGACGTGGACAAGATCACGGTGTACAGCGGCCCCGAGGGCAGCTACTTCGGCTACGCGGTAGACTTTCACATTCCCGACGCCCGCACGTAAGTCGCTCAGCCGGGTAGGTGGTGCGTGCGGGGGAAACCCGCTCACGGGTTGGATCTGCCTCTGTCGCGCCTCCGGGGATCCTGTCCTGCGCTGCCCTCTCGGGGTCCCTCCCTCTCCCGCCGCCAGCCTCCTCTCTTCGCTTCCAGGCTAGATGTACCCTGTGTACTTTGAATAGACACATGCCACTTGCCTAGAACATGCAGGTCCTGGGGAGTCCCCGGGACAAAGTTGAGAACGGACCCAGCAGCCTGAAGCCAGCTAAAGCCACGGCCGCGGCAGGGTCTGTTTATACATACCCGGCTAACGGTCGTGTCTGGGCGCAGCGCTGTCGGCCACCGGCAGCTGGGCTCTGTCCTTGACTCTTTCCCCCTCCTCTCGCCTCTCACTGTATCCACATAGCTCCACCTACAGAAGAATTAGGACCCTTTGCACCCTCTTCCAAACCAGGTTTCTGGCGCACGTAGATTTCCAAGAGGAAATCAAGTTTGACAGTCGGTCCCCATCATAAATCCGTGTCTGCCCTCCGCGCCTGCTCCAGTCTCGGCGGGCTGTAGTGTCCAGCGGCGCCTTGCTCGTGCACGCTCTCCTGATTCCCGGGAGTGACCTTCTCCAACCCTTTCGCAGAGCGAGCGTCTTGGTGGGCGCACCCAAAGCCAATACCAGCCAGCCCGACATCGTGGAAGGGGGAGCCGTCTACTACTGTCCTTGGCCGGCCCAGGGGTCCGCGCGGTGCAGGCAGATACCATTTGACACCACCAGTAAGTGCTATTGGTCCTTCTGAACTGTGAGTCCTTGAGCCTTCCTGGAATCTGCTTCCCACTTGCTGCGTCGGGTCCTCATTTCGCCTAATGTGTCTGTAGTGTGGGCCGGGGCAGGTCCCCAGAGAAAGCAGCTTTTCCAGCCCTTGGTAAAGGTGAGGAAAGTGCCTCGTGAACCTAGAGGATGTTTTGCCCCTGAGTGTTGGGACGCAGGCTTAGCGGCTTCTGTTTCCCTACTGTTCTGAAATGAGCATTTTCAGGGTGAGTGGATACTCGGGGAGAAATATAAAAGCTGCCCCCTAACCTTGGGAAGAGAATCTCTGTTTGTTTCTTAAGGTCAGATCGGGAAAAAGAGACCCCTAGTATTTGCAGTGCCCAAACTCCGGAGGCGAATCTTAGCTGTAGACCCAGACGTCGCTCCGTCGCTCCACGTTGCCGTTTAATTCCTTACAGAAAGAAAGACTTTTCTTTCAAAATATTAGACGCTGGATGCAAACTAGTACAAGCAGCGTGTGGATGGATTACGTTCATTGCCAACAGTCCCTAGACAGATGTTTCTTATTTAATTAAAGGGAAAATACATTTTAAACAATTCAGTCTGCTTATGCTTCCCCTCGTGTTTTCTCTCTGGGTCCTGAGAAAATAATTTAAATGTAACGCTTTCAAAAACATTAACACCGAGTGTTTTAATTTGTGCCACTATAACGTTATGGATTCTTAAGGTATGTAGTATCAGAAAGCAAATATCTCTTTCGAGAAAAAATGTCAAAATGTCAGATCAAATACCAGTCTCTGAAGAACAATCATTTAAAATACCTTTTGCACCACACAACTATTTTATGACATAATTTAAAAAATTTCTTTGCATTTTGTATTGGTATATTAGTATGCATATAGCATTGGTGTAGACTATCCATTTTCATAGAATTTTGATGAAATGGGCTAAGTGATATTTATCTGTTACTTTCATTAATTTGTATCTTTTATGTTAAAGGAAGAAATAATTTCAGTTCTATAAATATGGAAATCATTCCCAAGGGGGAGAAAAAAATCCTATGCAAGCATTACCTTGAATTGTGACCAAGTTAGGAAAATATCTTTTAAAATCATTCTAAAATTGTATCTTTTTATTCCTGTCTATCTATATATGGTCACAATGGCTTATTATTCATTTTATTAAAGGATTCAGTTATTTCCAATCAATTTTTACATGATTTCACTTTTAAATATAAGTATTTAGCAACTGGGAAAATTAAATCTTTTGATGTTAAGCTGTGGCTGCAATCTTTTAGTTATTTTATCAGGATTTGAGCAATCTCTTCTGATTACTGCTTTAGAAATAAGGTTCCTAAATCAAAAGAATTAAACAATCATGAAATTAATACCATTTTAATTCATGCCAGAATTATTTATATTATATTTTTAAAAGTATTTTAAACTCAGACCTTGAGAAAGACCCAAACGATTGGTATTATTTGATTTTACATTAAGGAAAATGAGTACTTATATTTTGAGACATGTTTAATGTGTTTTCACTAAGAAGCAATCTATAGATAGTCATAGCAATGAATTTAATAACCTTCCAGAACAGTCTGATAACACATCTAGGTCAAAATAGAATATGTTTCCTTTGATATCAGGAGCATCAATGTCTGCCCAGAGTGGTTACATCTGAATAACTTTATAAATCTAATCCCAGGAGATGTCATGGTTCAAGAGGTAAGAACCAGAGGATTCAGACATCAAAGTGAATTTTCAAAACTTTACTACTCCCAACCAAAATTTCCAATATGAAATTGCAACAGGTAATATTTTCCAATGTTCATTCTAAAACACTTGTTTGCAGTTTTAAATTCACTTTCTCATGGAGAACTAATGCTGAAAGACTGTGCCTTGCTTTTCTAGAATAGCCCACAGGAATGCATTTCACCCTTATTGTAGCGGGCTCACATTTGCAATGAAACAGAGGCACATCGGTAGAATTTTGGTGGTGAAATTAGAGAAATAATGTGAAAAAAAGATCTGTGTTACTTGGAGAAAGTTGGTGGCTGCTCTTGTGCAGGTTAGGAAGACATCTGAGCTTTAAAGAACTTTAAAGATGAATGCTGTTGGCTCGATACTATAAAGAGGGAGGGAACTAGATATCCCTGAAAGAATTGAGCAGGAAATTAAAGGGAAAAAATGCAAGGCAGGAAAGACTATGCAAAGTCTGTGAGTGATGAATGGTCCGTGACGGAATGAACAAATCCTCCACCTACCTGTGAAAGACAGGAGAGTTCCACTAGGAGAGATGGAAATAGTTGGGAAAAGAAAGTTCCCATGTCAGCCATCAGGGGGTACTGTGGGCCCAGAAACCTTGATTGCTAGTGGGAATAGCCTGGAAATGGGCACTGGGAAAGGCTTCCCTGGACCACAGCTCAGGCATTTGCTAACGAGAGGTTGCCACCTGCACTATACCTCATCTCTACCATCTCTATCCAGGTGCCCTCACATAATGCACCTAACAGTGGCTTCCACTAACTCCAAGCTGTGACCATAAAGAAGGTTCAGCCCAAGCCAGCGTAGTGATTTCCAATCTGAGCATCACCATTGGGGCTGAGCAGAATCTTGGAAGCAAAGATGAAAGGTGGGCAGACTCTGGGTCTTACGGTCAGGGTGGCCAGATGCACTTCCTTTATTAATCATCACCATGTACCAGTCCACAAACCAAACACATAAGAAACAACTATGTAAAAGTCATTTGAGGAATAAGGAAACTGACATCAAAGGTGCCCGCCACCATACAATGGTAAGCAGTAAAGACCGGATTGGAACAGAGCTCTACCCACTCCAAAGCCTCCCTCATCACCGTGCTTTCCTTCCAGAAATGGGGAGAGGATTGATTCTAATGAAGTGTAAGTTCAGCATCGTGGCTGGGTCCCAGGGACCTCTGGAAGGAACTGTCTGCCTTCCCTCCCTTGACTTCACAATTCAATTTTTTTTTGAGACAAACTGTCACTTTGTCACCCCTCAGTGGAGTGCCATGGCATGATAGCTCACAGCAATTTTGAACTCTTAAGCTCAAGCAATCCTCTTACCTCAGCCTCCAGCCTCTACAACACCTGACTATTTTTAGAGACAGGGGTCTCACTCTTGCTCAAGCTGGTCTTGAACTCCGGAGCTCAGACAATCCACCTGCCTCGGCCTCCCAAGTGCTGGGATTACAGGTGTAAGCTACGGTGCCAGCCCTATCACAAATTCAAATTTAAATAATGCTCTGGAGAAGCATTGAAAAGAAAAAGCAGTTTGGTAGCAAGGTTGTAGAAACCAGAGATTTAGAAGCAGGCTTTGTATTGGTGGGAATTATTGCTCATATTCCCTGTAAGGACATCTGTGAATATCTGGTCTTTCACTCCATCTACTTTTACTACTACATCTGAATTCAAGACATCCTAAGTAAATGTGAGCTTTTAATAAAGCTTTTTCAGGCTCTTGGGTATCTATATTTTTGGCTGGGTCTGGGTTTGAACCCCACCACCTCCAGCATATGGGGCTGGCGTCCTACTCCTTTGAGCCATAGGCGCCGCTCTGACCCTGTAATTTAGTTTCTGAATCTGGTTGTGGTTCTGTATCTCAGTTTGTGTAAGACCAACTGCCTTTAAAAAGAAAAAAAAACTGTCTTATTTACATTTATTTATTTTGAGACAGAGTCTCATTCTGTGGCCTGGGTAGAGTACTGTGGCCTCATAGCTCCCTCAAACTCTTGGGCTCAAAAGATCCTCTTGCCTCAGCCTCCTGAGGAGCTGGGACCACAGGCGCCTGACAGCATGCCCAGCTAGCTTTTCTATTTTGGGTAGAGATGGGGTCTCCCTCTTGCTTAGGCTGGTCTGGAACACCTGAACTCAGGCAGTCCACCACCTTGGCCTCCTGGAGTGCTGGGATTAAAGATGTGAGCCACTGAGCTGGGCCCCAAACTGCCTTTTCGTTTGGTTCTTTTCATTAAATAATCCGTATGTATTTTTACCTTGTCCTATAACTGGGACTTTTTTGAAACTATTTCTCATGATAAAGGCAAAACCGGAGGAGGCTTGGAATAGCCTGGCACTTCAAATGCATGAATACTATTAAATTCTGTGGTCCTTTCAAGTACAGAGAAAGGAAACTGTGAGGAAGCATATGGTGGCGGGGGAGGTGCAAAGCGCAGATAATTTTCCTGCTCTGTTCAAAATCAAGTGGTTCCAAAAAAGCCCTTCTCTCGTCTCCTTTCTGTCTTTCCCTTTTACTTCAATAGAAAAAGAATTCCTCCCGTCACCAAATTAATTTCTTCCACTTTTGTCTCAGGAAGTCTCTAAACTACGTCCCATGTCTTCAACAGCTTAAGACATCACATCTGCTGGATTCATGCTTCTCGCTTCTAAATCGACTCCCAGGTTCTTTTTTTCCCACCCTTTCCAAACCAATGTGTGGACTAAATAAGCATTGTTAGATGCTTACCCTCTGTCAGATGGGGAAATGAATGAAACCACGAAAAAGACACCTTACCTTTGGAATGATGCAAAAACATATTGCAACAATAGTAACAAATGCACACTGCACAAAGATTTGTCTTCAGTGTGCTAAACATATTGCAACAATAGTAACAAATGCACACTGCACAAAGATTTGTCTTCAGTGTGCTAGGGAAATATTTGGAGGAGTAAGATAATGGCATGTGATAATGAAGGATGGCAGTCATCACAGCATTAATAATAACTGCGAGGCAATTACAGCTGGGAACCATTCACAGTTAGGGACCCACAAAAAAAGTGGGCCGGAAGAAGTGGGAGGTGCCCTTGAGATTTGGAAGTCATCTGAGAAAGACTACTAAAATTTTCCTGGCCTCTATTTAGGGTCTCTGTGTTTAGAAAAAAACAAAAGAAAAAGAACTTAAGATGGAAGACAATTTGGTTAGGATATTTCACAGCTCAGGATGGTAAGATGTTTGTTGTCAATGCATTTTAGCTTAGAGACCGGACACCTCT